CATTTCAGCATTAGGGAAAGGAAAATTCATATTTGATAACCTCCGTACTTTATAGTGCTACACTCAAATATTGTGTGCGTTATGCAAATAATAATACATTCCAAGTTCACTTACTTGCAAGATTCAGTTAAAGCATGTTGGAAGAGCAGAATATTAAACATACATTCGCTCTCTAAGGAGGTTGTTTTATAGACTGCTGCATTAATGTGAACATGACAAGGTTGCCGTGGATGAGGATGACCTTAAACCTAGAAACAATATAGTTCTGGTGTCCAAAACCTCAGCTCTTATTCCTTTGTCTGCGAGTTAATTGGATGTCAGGGCCTTTGGACAACAGATGTATGTTCCTCCGGGCTGATGCCTCGTCTGGAGCATGACTCTGGTTCTGTTAATGTGCAGCCTGAACGCTGGCATGGCCTCGCGTCTCGTGTGTCATCACCTCAGTCTCACCATGCTAAGCAGCTCTGAATCCCCCCAGCGCCATGAGCCCAAACATGCACTCAATCCATCCCACTGAGCAGCTGCACATTGTATCCGTCCCCCACTCTTCATGAATAGCCAAACTGAGACCTACAGTAGGTTCAGAGCTCTTATCCCCGACTGAGATGTATTTAAATCAGGTATGTGACAGTTGTGTGTGTACGCATGCTATGAATATAAACGCAGTGAGTGTTGAGGAGTGGATAAAAAACAGAGCCATAGACAGAGATGAAATGTAGAGGGCCGGCTTTTGGAAATGCATCTGGAGCTGTAACATCGGAGAAATGTCTGCTTGTGGCTCAACAAGAAGCAGATACATCTAAATAGATTGGATGTGAAGTCCCACAGTGCAATGCACCATAGTGTTTATAGACAGGAGGAGAAGCAGAGTGAAGTGCGTGTGCCTTGGAGAAAAGACAGAGTAACATACAATCTCAAGTGAGGCACCATTCAGACATGTTTTGGATTGCTTCCCTTGCAGGACAGATATGAAAGACTTGACAGTCTCTATTGGTCATGATATGTGTTTGAAATAATGAATAGCTTACAGTGAGAGAAATGTCACCTCTTTCAATGCACTACAAAATGTTTGCTGCAAAGTTAGCTGGAAATCATTATGGCCCCTAAAGCCCCTTTCCCACTGGACGAGAAACCAAAACATCTGTTTTTTGTCTACAGTGGGAATTGTTACAATCGGCGCGCATGAATCTGCAGAACACGGTTATTTATCGGGTTCTTATCGCCAGACATAAAAACATCACAACCGGGTGGACACGCTAATCTGTGCACCTTTTCCCAGTGCAATGCTATGTGCAGATTCATTCAAGAGAGTAATTCAACCGGGATTTAGACAATTGTTAAATATATCTATTGACAAAAATATACACATGTTATGCTCTCTTCAGGGTACCTTACACTGAATATTATTGGAAAAAAAACTATTTTTGACAGGTTTTCCTGCATACGCATGCATCTTTGGTGGGACATGGGCATAATACATGTTTTCCTCATGTCATACTGTAGTTTTAATCTCAACTTTATTATTATACATCATATACGTTACAGTGTTTTCCAGCTGTTTTTGTCCAGCTATTTGTTTTTTAGGCAAACACTTTCACAGCTGTCCCGATAGGTCCATAGGCTTAGAATCAGACATTGTTTATGGAGGCTTCTATGAAAACATTATCTGTTTGTGACCATATCACAGAATATATGGTTGGTATTGCATTTAAAAAAATCAGACAAATCACCCAGAGAATAAATGTATACAATTTATTAAAAATGTTTTTTTTTAAATTGTCAATATAATATATATGTATGTATATGTATATATATATATATGTCAATATATTCAATTGTATTGAAAGTTGTGACTTCTCCTAAACGTTGTCTGGTAATTTAGATTCATTAGGAAATATCTCTTTTTGGAGCTTTACCAATACAAATATGTGAACAGATGTCAGTTTGTGGTACAGCATAAAGAAATGTAACAGCACTGGTGGATATTGAAAAAATAAAGGAATGCACTACTGTTTGTTCTTGTTTACCATAAATATAGGCTTCCACTAATATGTTTTGAATTCGTAAATCGGTGTCATTGTTACTCTGGACAATTCACAGAACATTATGTCTAACATTTTTATGGAACTGCTTTCCACAGAAGAAATGGTCTCTATAAAACTGTCAACAGTGTGGTTGATGAAAACCACTCCATCCATACCCAACCCAAACCTCATTGGATAAGGGCTCTCCCTCCGCACACATATCAATGAAAGCCTTGTACACATGTTGTTAGAGTTGAAAAGCAGAAACTGACTGATTCATTGCCTGAAAAAACTGAGAGATGTTGGTTCAAATGCTTCCTTGTCCAAAAATACAAACGAGAAGCAGCCAATTAGTTAAATTAAATATAGAACATGTTAAATTGTGAGCTCTAGAGTCTAAGGGGCTGGGACACAAAGCTAGCTGTTTCTAATTTGGGGAATTGTCTGGCAAAACAAACACATTTTGATATTCTTGTCTAACTCCCAGGAGGAAAACAAATAACAATAAATCCCCAAATGCCTTATTTAACCTTGTTTTAATATTAGCATGGATTCCGACAGCTGGATGAAGGCTTTTAGAAAGACGGAACAACATAAAAAATGATATTAACCGCCCTTGCATCCAGATAAAAGAAAAAGCAGATAATGACTTAATCACAGGTCACAGCGTGGATTTGTGAATGCCTATCAGAGGGCAATGATTGTTTTGCATTCTCATAACTCATCATGAAGTAAAATCCTCTAACTCTGGATTCTCTACACATGGATACCTGCGTCAGTGATGACACACACGGAAAGCTGGGACTGTTTGAAATACTTGTGTTATGCTTCATTGTGTCACACACATGGCAAGAAAGCCTAGTGTCCCCCTTTATTCACTACGAAACACTTTCCAATTAGATTTCAAATGCCACTGCAACTCTTGTCTCCCCAGGCATTATGTGAATAGAAGTCTCCCAGGGCTGCACATAATATCTCATTACTGACAGCGCGGGTCACCTGGGACTCAAATCAGAAAATCTCAACACTTAAGCAATTGGCTTCTCTCTAACTGCCTCGCTGAGATTGATTGAGTTTGGGCTCCCCGAGCACCACTTTAATGTCAAACACATAATGCATCGGGCAGACTTTAGGTAGAAAACATTCAATCTTTTCATATATTCAGCTAATGATATTTTTACCCAAGTAGGATGCAAATAGTATTTTCTGTGTGTTTTTCTCCCTCATTTGTATTCCTGAATGATTTTCAAATAACTATCACCTGCACAGAACTGAGCACCAGATGGTTTCCTTATTTGGATGATTTGTATCATATGTGGTTAGGATAGATCTCAGTACCAGCAGTGAAGAGTATGACCACTACAAAATGGAGGAACATGGGTTGAGAATTTGAAACGAACAACAAATTCATCTAAGCAATGGTTTGCCTGTGATTAGATTTGAAAAAGGGCATTCAATAGTCCTTAATGGGATGATCTTTTTAAACGTTGGCCAAAACAGTGCCTTGCCATAAATGGCGACAGTTAAAAAGAGTACAATTGGCTGGCAGAGGGAATGCTGGGTAGTGGTGGTTGCCCAAGCCGGCTGTGAGAGATTTACCTCCATTACACATTGTTCTATCTCTGTCTCTTCTGTTACATAATGAGAGCAGATCACACCAAACTGCAGGCTTAAAATGCTAATTGGATGTGTCTCTGCTTGCGACAAATCATGAAGGCAACATCAGACCTTTGTTGTGTTAACAAACATGCCTAAACTATATGGGGACGTTTGCGTATGTATGCTTACTGTATGTCTTTTATTGATGAGAAAGTGTTGTCTTCCCTTTTGTGTCTCGTTTCTTGAATAGATTTTCAAGGTAGACATTTTGCAGCATAACACTTTTTTTAGAGATTCTTTCTTGTTCATCTCTGGCAGGAGGCTGCGCTCCATCAGGACAAAAAACTCTCTCCACCTGAACAGTTCCCCCCCCCCCCCCCCCCCCCCCACTGACACTTTACCTCAGCCATAACGCAGACTCTATATGCATTTTAATGCACAAATATTGTTCAAATATTGCTTACTGCACATATTTTATAATTCACTGCATTCTATTTCGCTGTAAATTACTTCACTTTATTGTATTGCTATCTATCTATATTTATTTACAGTGTTCTTAAAGGTGGGGTAGGTAATTTAGGAGAAACCAGCTCGAGTGCGCTAGAATTTGAAAATACACAGCCGGAAAAAATCTGCCACTTCCTTCCAGAGCCCCTCCTCCAACACACACGAACGCGCACATGACCAATGAGGGCACGAGATAAGTTTGTGCACAGATGGAAGGCTGACAGGCAGGTAGGCCATCCAGTTACTTTAGCCGGGCCGGCTCAGATGATTGGTCGTGCTTTTTACAGCGCCACGGCTTCCACTGATGATATATTTTTAGGATTTTTTTTGTCAAAGCACTTCAGATATTCATTGCTATCGGGATGTTAAGAGCATTCCATGGAATATAACAAAAAGTGTATCTCGAGCCGGTTTCTCAAACTTACCTACCCCACCTTTAATATAGTTCGCTATCTGTGTACTTTTTTTTTTATATTGTATGCACCGTGACATCAAGTCAAATTCCTCGTACGTGCGAACCTACCTGGCAATAAACCCGTTTCTGATTCTGATTTATCTTGTGAACCCTTGAGAGATCTGGCATTGGCATGATTTAGGTTTTTATTCTTGTTCCATTCTACATATTGTCTTGTATTACTCCAACTAGCACACTGCTTTGCTTAAAGGGAAATGGAAACACTTTTCAAACGGCTTTCCATGCGACAATATTCCCATTAGGAAATGTATTTATCTAGTCTATTTCCAATGTAAACGATCGAGATACGCGAATTTATTTTTTGAAATACGTGCCTAATGACCATGGGCGCTTCCATTGCTCCGGGACTTTCCCAGTGACGTCACTGAGTGGGTACGGCTTCCTGGGCCAAAGCTCAATAACAAACAACATGGCGGAAAATGCACCAGTAGTTTACATTAAAAGAAAACGGTCGTCGTCAGGAGTTTATTGTATTGCCCCAGGCTGCACAAATGGATTTTATACGAAGAAGGAAGAAGTACATTTCCATAGGCTGCCACTAAAGGATGAGAAGCTGCTCAAAGCATGGGTTATTTCCATGAAACGGTCCGATCCGCCGCTGAATCAGTACGCACGTGTGTGCAGCGAACACTTTAAAAATGACGATTATGTCCACAAAATGAGGTTTGATGAGTCTGGATGCTTGGTTCAATACAAAACATCGGATTTGAAGCCAGGATCTGTTCCCACAATATTCGATTTCTCAACGTATGCAGTCGGGAACACCGACCGTCCCAGCACGTCGGCCGCGCAAGACAATGACAGTGTCAACAAACGTGAAGTTCGAGCCACCAAACGAGTTGCTTCAGCTGCCGAGAGAGAGGTAAATATTGCAGCACTACCAGATTACTAGCTCACACATGTATTTACTGACAGTGTGACCTTATTAATTAACGCAATCGCGTCCAAACTAAATGGTAGCTATTATTATGACGTACAATGGAGAATTGGGGGTGTTCTATAGCTCAACTAATTAAACTGGCATACACACGCTCATCTGTCGAAAACAGCCCTAAAAAGGCTAGTATTGCTGGACTAGGTGTTCAATGGATGGTATTGCCAAGATGTATGAGGTGTTGGAAAATAATACAAAATATATGTCAACTGACCACTGAGACCGAGTCGGTACTGGAACTGGTGGTATCCCACTCGGCGAGTTCAGAACCGTCGGTACTTTCGGCGGATTCCGGATCGTATGCCACTCTAGTATTCGACCGAATCGGTTCATAAGCATAGGCCATGGGATGCCTGGTAACTAGATGTTTCCACATCAATGTCATCTCCCGACGAATAGTCAAATTCATCGTTCAAAACGTCGATCTCATTGCAAAATTCCTCCATCGCTGCCATATCTGCTACGTTGTGTTGACTTCCGGTATGGATACCCGGAACGAAGACCCACCCAGTGACGTCACCATTTGGGACTCCCCTAATGGCGGCGGCCTGGTCCCGGAATTCCCCACCCGGCCGGTGGATAATTAATTTTCTTTTGGCGAGTAATATCATATACAATACATATTACGATCAATATCCATTGTAAAATGAATAAACTCCCGGAATATTATAGCTGTAATTGGTGTTTCCTTTCCCCTTTAAGCAACTGTGGCTTGGATGTTTAGTAAAACAATAAGTCTTTTTGCAGGTATACAATGGCCAATTATCACAGCAAGCTCCAGTGTGGCATCCTTTCACACCCACAGCAAGTTGTTTTGTGCGTTTTAAATAAACTCCGGAGCATTTACCCTTCTGTTTGTTTAGGTTGCTGTGAAAACTGGCAATTGAAAGGGATTTATTCATCCAACTTGTAACATTTTAAGAAGATACAGAAAGGTGATGTCATCCTGCAGATAATGGCGTATCATCAGCAAACATATAGGCTGCGTTTCACTTCGGTTAAATGGATTCCTTGCGTCGTTTCCCTGCGTCTAGTCCCTCCCACCAGGGAAGCATGGAGAGACGCAAGGAAACCACGAGAAGCAGGGAAATGAGTTTTAAGAGCAATGGGATGTCCTTTCCTCCGGAGTTTGTGATGACGCTGCACAGCTGATCGTCTGACAGCAGCTCTGTCCCGTTATTTCCACACACACCCCCGCCTCTGTTAGTACACATTTACTGACACAAACATTTGTATCATCTGTTGTAGACCCAAATAAATAAAATAAAATAAGAAGTCATTCTCAAAAAAGATAAACGCCATTCTTAAAATGTATAAACGAACAATAGTTTGATTAATATTGATTAGAGTGCACAAAAGAAATAAAATAATTGAGAGAAGAAAAAGAGATATGTTATCTATCAAAACCCAGTTAGATTAACATTCATTGGATTGCACACTTTGTTTGTTTGTTTGTATATGTAGCAAATTAACATTTTAATAGCACTTAATGACTGACTGAATGGAAATGACAATAAATGAAAATGTAAAACGAAAAAAGCGATCATGAAAATGTTTCCAAAAAATGAATAAAATGATTTTTGACCACTTTGTTGTTCAGATATGTCACATATTTGTAACTAAATGAAACATGAATTAAAACAAAACACGGTATAAACTGAGGAGTGAGTCCCGTGAGGTTCATGTATTTTCTTCACTCCGCTGGGAAACTGCTCTCATGTCAAGAAGCATGAGATCAGTGCATGCACTGCCTCGTCCAATCAGTGAGCGATACACAGTAAGGGGGCGGGGCGAGTGTCTGAGGATTTCATCGAAGGATGGTCTGGTGGTTCCTCGATTATAGCTCCTCCATTATCGCTCCTCGCTCCTCCGGCAAAAATAAGGCCATTGGGACGCTACTCAAGATGGCGCAGATAAATCAACTTCCGGTGAGACCGAGGACCGAGGAAATGAAAAATAAGAGAAGTGAAACGCAGCCAGGGTATTCTAGAGGGCAGGAACTTAGGAGGTAATTTGTCTTCATTTGTAGGACTTCTTAAATGTCATAATTGATAACATCTAAGTTCAGGCCGCACTCTTAGCTATCAACAATCCATCTCAGTGTTTTGGTTGTAATATAATACAGAAAAGTGCTCTCATTTCTACAAGGTTGGTCTCACTCTTCCCTAGGAGACAAAGAAGGGCTGAATCTCACTCAATTGTCCCTCTGGGCTCCCTTAGGCCTACATTAAAGATCGTGGTCGATGGTGGTTAAAATTAAGTGCATTTATTGATCTTGTTTCTTGATAATGTTTAGTGTATAACATATCAGGTGTGGATATATTCTGCAGATCACCCAGTTCAAAAAGCTAACCCAAACTTTTCTATAGATGCATTTTACAAGGAAGCGTTTCCTTTTCGCCTAGCTGTTTGCCGGAGATGCCTTTTGTTTCTGGAGAAGTTGTTAACTACCGGATGGTTGTGAGGAATGAAGAGTCGGCAGTCAACAAAATAGGTGTTTCAAAAACTGTGAATCACTGCAACCACACGGTCCTTGAGCACTCAGTTATAAATTAGCACAAACTCATATTAGGCTGATGGAGCCAGTGGTATGCCAAACTATCTGCGGTGAGACACACACACACACACACACACACACACACACACACACACACACACACACACACACACACACACACACACACACACACACACACACACACACACACACACACACACACACCCAGTGGAGATAATAAACAATACACACAAACAACACATACAAAGCAATAAAGTATAATGTTCCCCCATGACGAGCTGATGTTGCAGGATGACAGTCATCAAAGCTGTCATGAATGAGTCACCTGCCAGCCCATGGCTTCTTCTCTTGTTTGTACTAACCCATTGTAAACACAGAAAGAGCCCAGAACAAAAAGGCAACAGTGGAGCATTTTCCAAAACAAGTTTGTAGTAATTTAACCCATTGTTAGATAAGTGAGAGTTATTTGTTCAATCAGACACGACTGTATGTAGTGAACACTTTGACCATTGACTTAGAGTTGATTTTGCTGTTTTTACTGTTAGATAAAATGTTTAGTTACGTTTCTGACATACTATTAAAACAATGTTTGGCCAGCTGACTAGATAAAGTTTGCTCTAAATCCTAAAGTTAGCTGCAGCCTACACCTTCTAATTGAATTGTAAATGTATATTTCTCCAGGCTATCACATCTCAAACCTACCCCTACTTAATCATCCTGACTGCAAGAGGCCCCACATTTGTTTGATGTGCATATAGATAGAATAGATTTCCTCATGTATTTTAACTAACCTGTTCGTTAATTCCTCCAGAGATAGAGCGCTCCGTTTCTTCAAACATCAACCATGCCATCATTTTATTGCAGTACGTCAGATTGGATAAACGAGCACACCCTTGATGACAACTTCTAAGTGTGTAGTAAGGTTAGGCTTTAGTTTGTCGCAGTTTTCGAACCAAAAGGTCAACTCTCACTAGCATATCTGTTTAAATGGCCAAATCCTGAAGGTTTCCATGTCCTTTAACCCTCTCCATTGCTTGCTCAACATTCTGTCTTGTTAAGCATCAAAATGGGGATAAAATAGTGAAGGTGTATTAGCAGAACCCGTATTTTCGCTCGGTATTTTCAGCTTCCTGCAGCTTTGTCAGTTGAGGCTTGCTTTAAATATCAATCTCTCCCTAAAAATATAGCTACAGGGGAACTTAAAGGAACTGCAGTCTGTATCTTGCTGCACACACACTCCCGAGTCAGCCTGCCTTCCTTGGGAGGACAAAATGCTTCTGGGTTCCACGGATGCAACGGCCAAAAACGTTGCATTATTTCTCATCGGTTTGCTGAGCCGTGTACCTGTCAGGCAGCATGTAGCCACTAAGCATTTATACACTTATGAAGATTTCACCAAGCGTGACTCTAATGTGTATTTCATACGGCAAGGGACATTTAGTTTTCCTCTTCCAAATAACATCTTAAAGGAAAACTATTTTTAACTGTTAACTTTTTTTCATTTTCATGCATTATGGATGTCTAGGAGATGAATCCTCTGTTTATGCAGTGGTCATGTTGTGAATTTCGGCATCAAAGAGGCCCTTTATTTTCTCCCCCAAATTCCAAGGTTACTGCCCCGGTATGTGACCCACATCCTAAACACTTCAAACAATAATGGCTTATGTCAAAGCTTGGATACATACTCAGAGCTTTTCTCTGGGGAATAAACGATGGCTGTGTAAGAAGCATCGCCACTACTAAGTATTATTGGTAAAAGCAGCCTGCAAGCTTTCAACACTGGAGAGATTTACTCACCCTCTCATTGTCTCTCTTCCTCTCCTGCTGTGTTGCTGGCAATAATTAGTGCTGCACGGACATTATGCAGACACACATTAAGGAGGTGAAGACTAGCCTACTTCAGTCTCATTAAATATGTATATTTGCGTTAATTAGGAGATATTTGTTTGCAAGTACAACACCCCCCCTTGTTTAGGTTTTACAGTGCACCTGCTTTCAGCAGTTGTATGGAGAGCCGCTGACTGGGTTGAAGCAAATAGACTGTCAACACCCCTCGGAGGGACCCTCCATTAGGCTGTCTTTCTCAGCAGCGCACACCCCTGAGGCGATGAAGCATGTTGCTCTCTTTCTGCCGCACACTTCCTCTCCTTCTTTGTCCATCGGAGGAAACATAACCCTAACCTTCTGCAGCTTTGTCTCTGTCTTTTTATTGCTCAAGCATAGCGTTCCTTTTTCCCCCCGGTAACATTATTTTCAGCTTGTCATTTTATTAAGTCCATCATTTTGTTAGAACAGCAGAAAATCCGGGCCGTCAACCACTGTGATTATTATTTTACCATCAACCAAACATGATTATAATATTTTTTCAGTGCATGCTGAGGAATAACGCAGGCTGCCTCAATACTTAGAG